TCCTCCCTCAGAGCCCGTCTCTTCAGTGTCTGCGCTAACTACATAGTGATCTCATCGAATCTCATGGCAGTGAGTCCTACCTATGTGCTCATGACCCCCACATGTATTTCCCCAGCTCGGACCTCTCGCCTGAATCCGAGGACCTTATATCCAGCTCCACATAAATTTCACATAAGCATTTCAAACCCACTTTCCCCAGCTCAGCTCTTCACCCCACTCCACTTGCCACACCACCTTGCTTCTTCTCTAGGGCTCTTTCTTTGAGTAAGTGGTCCCTCCATTTGCCCTCTTGTTCAAGCCCAAAACCCTGAAATCATTCTTGAGCCCTCTCTTTCCTTCATACTCCACGTCCAATCCTTCAACAGACCCAATTGGTCCTACCTTCGAAATGTACCCCAAATTCAATTATGTTGTACTTTAAGTATGCTAGGCCAAGCCAAAGTTAATTCTCCCCAGCATAATTGGAAGAGTCTCCAATGGTCTCCTGGCTTCCATTTGGCTTCCTATAGTCTGTTTTCTACACAGCAGCCAGAGTAACCCTTTTAAAATTCAAGTCAGACCTTGTCACTTCCCTGCTTAAGACGATCATCCTTAGGATAAATTCCAAGGCCCTTGCCATGGCCTGCAAGGCCCGGCTTGAAGCTGGCCCTTGACCTCTGCCCTTTTTCTCCTTCAGCCTTCTGCCCCAGACTCACTGACTTTCTGGTATTCCTCAAACACACCCACCTTGTCAGGGCCTTTGCCCTTGGTTTCCCCCATGATCCAGAATGCTCTTCTCCAAAGTACCTCATGCCCTCACGTCTTGTGCGTCTCTGCTCCAGTGTCATCAGTCAGAGAAGCCTTCGTTGTCAGCTTCTAAAGCCTGGCTCCGCTTCTGTTTCTTTCATGGCTCTTATCCTTACCCACATGCATATTATATACATCTGTGATTATTTACTTTCTGTCTCTACCCCCTAGACCTTAAACCCTTAAAGGGAAGGATTTTATTTTTTTACACCACCATATCCACAAAACCAAGGTCAGTGCCTGGCTCATAGCAGTGACACAATAACTATCCATTGAATGAATTATTGAATCAATGAATGATTTCTTACTCATTGGGTCCCTAGAATAATAACATGAATTAAAGTATATAGAGCAGTTTCTAGCACATGGCCAAGTACTCAAGAATGTCTGTTTCTTCTACCTTGTTCTTACAAAAGGAGCTGGGCTGTGTCCCTGGCTCCTAGAAGCTAATCATTTTGTGACATCTGCTATTATCAGGGTTTGCTTCTACTTCTGCATTTTATATGTTCCCATCCGGCTTCTACTCTTTTGGGAATAACTGGAGAAAGTGTGTTCCTTTGAGCTCACTGCTCAGACTTTGTTTAACTTGTAGAGATTTCCTTGAAGCTGCCCACTTGAAATAAAAAATGTCACATTGGCTTCCAAGGCAAAATCTCCAGCTCTACAGGAAGGCAGCCTCTGAAAGTCAGACACAATTTCTAGCCATATCCCACAGGACAGGGAAAATGCTACAGGTGTCTTTGCATCGCGCTAAACTTTCAGGGAACACAGAATACCATATATGGAAGGTTCTGAGGCAGGAATAAAGCACACGAGCACAGGAGGAAGACCAGACTGGATGTGCGTAAGCAACACCCCATCGCCTTCCCTGTCCTAGCAGAAGAGACACATGGTCTGTGAGAGAAGCCTTGAAGGGGAATCTGATGCTCCCTGTGATAAAAGGCATCCCCCCCTTATTACTTTTTAAAAATTTGAAAGATATACAATAAAGGAAATAGCTCCCAAAAATGCATATTTGCTTTCTTGCTCCACATCCCTTCCCATTCTAACTGTTCACCAAGAGTAGTTCCATCCCCCTGGGGGTGAGGGGGTACCTCTCCCTCATCCCCGCCTCCATCACCTGTCAGTCACTGGTGGTACAAAGGGTGTGGGTTTAGAGGAAGGCAAATTTAATTCTGACTCACATGAGCTGTGTGACCTTGGGCAAATCCCTTCACCTCCCTCAGCCATTTCTCCAGGGATAAAACAGCAGTGTCTTCACTGGATGGTTGGGGAGATAAAGAAAGGTCTCTGGTGAAGCACTCGGGTAGGAGCTGTTGTTACCCATCAGAATGGGTGCTGGTGTTCTGTTTTGGAGACAAGAGTCACCAAGTTATTGAACCACCTGAACTCCATGAGGGGGAACAGAAAAAGACTTCATTTTTCTGTGTGATGATATTTACTCTGATAAGCCACCATCGCCCTAGGTTGCACAGCCCACGACAGAATATTGCCAGATTCCTTAACTTTCTGGTCACTTTATTAAAGATCTGGCTAAAACAAAACCCCAGTCCTATCTATGTAATCCCTCCTTCCTCCAGCACCAGCTCACTTCAGAGCTAGAAGGAACGCAAGTAAGGAAGGCCTGTTCTGTTCCTTTATGGCTTCCAGGTCCTCACCTTGATGTGGCTAAGTCTCAGTGAGTGCTGTTTCAGGTCCCCTCCCACTTAATTATGCTAGAGATGGAGGGTCTCCTTCACAATGAATGTGGGGCTCCCAAGGACATATGGCCCTGCTCCCCTCTATCAGTCAGGATGCGCCAGGTTGTGGTATAGGAACAAACAACTCAAAATAACACATGAGCTTCTCCTCCTCCTTCTTTCATGGCGCCAGCTCCTCTGGTGGTTTGGGCTGTAGGGAAAAGGAAAAAATACAGGTTTCCTGGCTGGCCCACTGTCTCTGACCTTTTATTTTATTTTATTTTTTAATGTTTTATGTATTTCTAGGAGAGAGAGAGAGAGAGAGAGAGAGAGACAGCGTGAGCAGGGGAGGGTCAGAGAGAGAGGGAGTCACAGACTGAAACAGGCTCCAGGCTCTGAGCTGGCAGTCAACACAGAGCCCGATGCGGGGCTCGAACCCATGAACCGTGAGATCATGACCTAAGCGAAAGTCGGACGCTTAACCAACTAAGCCACCCAGGCGCCCCTGTCTCTGACCTTTTAATGTAGGGTGATGCTGCTTCTCCAGCCAGACCTTTCCGGCTAATGATGCCTCATTGCATGCCTCCTTTAGAGTGCCCTACAGGCCTCTTCTCTGGATGGCTCCCTGAAGCTGGCTTCCCACAGCCACAGCCCACATCACCTGGGCAAAGAATTACAATCCCACCACATTCCAGGAAGGTGGGAAGAAGCAATGTATTGCTGCGTACACACAATAGACACCCAACCCAGTGAGTTACAGCACCAGTCGTCTCTTCAGTTGGTGGCTCGTGGGTTGGCCATTTGGATGGGACTCAGCTCCACAGTTCACCTGGTCTCATCTAAACCCTTTATGCCATGCAGGGAAACAGGGTGGCCGTGCTTCCAGGGTCTCATTCACATGATGGGAAGTGACTGGACCGTGTCCCTCATCATCCTCCAGGCCACACTGGGGTGGCTCCCATGGCAGTTTGGCAGGTTTCCAAAAGGGCGGACAGGGCATGCAAGGCATCTTGAGGCCTGGGCGTGTAACTGGCTTAAAGCTGCTTCTGCCACCTTCTCTTGGTCAAAGTCCCCAAACCAGTAAGATCCAAGGAGGGAGGAAACACACTACCTGGGACTGGTGGGTCTTCCAAGTCACACCGCACAGGAGACCAGGGAAGGGGGAGGACAGAAACCTGGGGCCTCTTTGTGGTCTACCCCAAGCACTAAAGGCCACATCTTCCTGATCTTCTGGGGAAGAGGTTGGAGGGTTGATGCAGAGGTGACGAGGCTTGGCCCAGCCTTACCAACTCTTCTTGTGTCCCCCATAGGGGTGTTTGACCACACCTGCTGGGGGCCTTTATTAGACTAGTGCCCTTTAGCGCCTTTGTATCTGGAGCTTTGGGTCAAAGACATCAATTTGAGGCAACAGGCAGAGTCCTCGTGGACATTCAGTTGCAAAAGGAAACTACCTTGTAAGTAAAGCGACCTCTTGCAGGGCATGCAGCCACTAAGTGCTTCATTCCTTTAATTTGGGCAAAGGGAAAAGTATGCACAAAGGGGGCAATAATGAAAAAGCATAGTAAATAGCGCAGATTTCGGAAAGGCCCCTGTGGGTACCATGGACAGAGCAAGGCACACACTGGTACAGGCTGTCATGGCGGCCCCGACCTGGAGCCCCTGACAAGGAGCTTTACTTCAGATGTGAGAACAAAAGCAACTTCATGAAGTTTCGGAAGAAACTTCTTCACGAAGAACAGCAGGCTCGCGTGCTCACATCCTGTGTTTCCAAAAGACCCTTCCAGCTCCACTGTGAAGGCTGGGTTGGTGGTACAGACGGGACCCACCCCAGACCTTTCAGAAATTAATGCTTTTCCAAACCCCTGTTTTCACTCTTCATCATTCCAATTCCAGAGGCAACGGGAGAACGATCCAGTTTGCCATGGCCAAAGACAAGCAGCAGAGCAGGGAGGAGGGTAGAGAAAGCCAGGCAACTAATCACACGCACACACGCACATGCGCACACACGCACACACACAGATTACTCGTCCATGGGCGTCAGCCCCAAGCAGGCTTGAGAGTTTCTAGTTCGTGTTCTGTGGACACTTTAGCCCTGTGGATTCCAAGGCACACAGTGGCCTCTTTTGCTTTGCTGTGTATAGAGACACGTCGCTGCTAAGTGACCATAAGAGAGAAAACCCAGCAGTGCTCCTGGCATCGTGATATGACCATTGAGCCCAGAAGGTCGTGCACTTAATATCTCCAGCGATTCAAATTCAGAAGGCAGATGGTGTCAAAGGTGCAGCATCGCGGGGCGTTTTGATGGCACACGGGTGGGACCTCAAGGAGGCACCTCAAAGGGATGCCCTCGGGTCGTCCGGCTCAGGAGGGCGCGGGGAGAGCTGCCAAATTCCCTCTAGGCACTGACCCCGCCCCACCCGCGCGGGGACACGTGCGCGGTCCGCGGGAACAGGGCAAGGGCCTGGAGCAGACGCCACCCCCACGCGTGAGTCTGCATGATCGATCGTAAGAGCGTGTTCTGTCATTGCATTGCAGCTCCAGAAACTAAAACGATCACTTTCTTTCAAGACCAAGAGTTTACGGAGCAAAAGCGCCGACAACTTCTTCCAGCGAACCAACAGCGACGCGAAGCCGCCGGCGGACGCGCCGGCCGAGGGCAGCCCCAGCTCCAGCCCCCTCCCTGCGCCCGGAAGCCTGGCGTCCACACCCACCAGGGCCGGCCTGCACCCAGGGGCCGGCGGCAAGGCCCACGCCTTCCAGGAGCACATCTTCAAGAAGCCCACTTTCTGTGACGTCTGCAACCACATGATTGTGGGTAAGGCCTCCCCCACCCCCACCTGCGGTCCCCGCGCCCAGGACAGGCTCTGAGCCTCCGAGAGGTGCATGAGGGCAGGCTGTTCAGAGAACAATAGCTGTGCAAAGGGAAGGGGAGAGGATGGGGCAGAGGGAGACCTTGGATGGTGATAGTTGCAACTTGAGCCACTTCCCCAGGGAGCCCTGTGCTGTCATCTGCATTGAGGCTGGAGACCCAGGACTTTGTACCCCTGCATCACTTCTCACTGCGTGTGAGCAGCTCTGGGGGAGGGTGCATAATCCTGAACAAAGTGGCTCTTTTCGGTCAAGGGCAGTTAGCAGAGAGGGAATCAGTGGGAGGCAACTGAGACACTGGGCGGTTGGGCATGGAATGCTCTAATTCTGGGGGGGGGGGGGGGGGGGGCTGAGTGACATGTCACAGCATCCACTACGGGGCACACAGTGACATCTGTCTGGGTAGCCTGGGGATGGGGTCTGTGGCTCGGTGAATCACAAGCGAATGAGCCAGCCAGGCAGGTGAGGGAGGGAGAGGCCCTGAACCGAGCAGGAAAGGCAATTGAGCCACCAGTACATCTGTTTCTGGCACTGCATGGACTCACTCGCGGTGGCAGCCTGCGGAGCCCTAAGGGGTGCACCCAGGTGACAAGAATGACCCACAAAATGTCCCAGCTGCAAGGAAAAGGCGGGCCATTCACAGCCACACGCACAGAGACACTGCAGTTCACGCTCTTCTGCCTCTCCCGGGTCAGCCGCCCGGTGACAGGACAGATGGACGAAGTCATAAAGGCAATTTGTGGTGGGATTCAGAGTGAATCTGAACCAGTCATGTCAAGGGCAGCAGTATATCCTGGTAACTGGCCAGTTGCCGCAGAGCGGGAGGAGAGGGCAAGGAGACAAGCCTGTGTCTGCTCTCAGGGGGCACAAGTGTGCCCCCCGCGCCCCGCTAGGAGAAGTGAGAGGGCATCCCGATTGGAAACGAGGCCGAACATGAAAAATTCAGGGCTGATCCAGACGTGCATCATCTTCCTGAGGTGCCGCCGGCCCTCGGCGAATCCCTGGACTGCCCTGAAGTACACTGAGGCCAGCAGGTGTGGGAGACCAGCCTTCCCCGCCCTGGGGCTCCCACTCACCTACTTCCTGGGTGCTGCGGACTTGGGCTTGGCAATGAATGCTTCAGGGAAGGACACTTTTACGATCCAGAACCTCAGACTCCAAGCTGGGCTCCGGGCCCAGTGAGGCCCCAGGCCAAAGCGGACCTGTCCTCTGGTCTCACGTTCCGCCTCTCCTGCCCTGACACGCGCAGCCCCGTCCAGCCCTGCGGGCTCCCTCCAGCACCCGTTTCCTGGGGGCTGGCATCCCTGCTGAGGGTGACCGTTGTCTCAGGTCAGATTCGCTAGAAGCAGAGCCCGAGAGGGGAGTGAGGCGCCTGGGATTTGCTGAGGGGCCGTGTGGGGAGAAGGGAGAGGGAGGAAGCAGGCGGGGCAGGGAAGTCGCTAAATAAGGAAGTGGTCCTTGCCCAGCAGGAGCCTGGCTCCAGCCAGATGTGGAGGCAGCTCTGGCACAGAGTGCACGCCGGCCTTCCCGGAGGTGAGCCTTTTGTACCCTGCTGGAGGCGGGCCTTCCCTCCTCCCGCGATGGAGGCCCTTTCATAACCCCCTGGGCCAAGTGCCCCCTGTTCTGTCGAAGGCAGTTTTCTGGAGAAAGGGGTGGCTGTGAGTCATTAGCGACCAACATATACATCTCGGATGATTAGTGGCTTTCTGCTACTGTAACTGATTATCACAAATCTAGGAGGTTAAAACAACACAGATTCATTATCTTCTAGTTCTGGAGGTTGAAAGTCCACTGCGGGTCTCCCTGGGCTAAAATCAAGGTGTCAGGATGTACATTTCTTTCTGGAGGCTCCGAGGGAGAGTCTATGTTCTTGCCTTCTCCAGCGTTGATAGACTGTCCACACCTCAGCTTGTGGCCCCTTCTGTGTTTGAAGGTATAATGGCAGGTTCATCTTTCTCACACCGCCATCTCCTTGGTCCTGACTGCCCCTCTTGCACTCACCTGGATAATCTTTCCATCTCAAGGCCACCTGATTGGCAACCTTCCTTCCGTCTGTAACCTTGATTTCCCCTTGCCATGTAACATAGCATGGTCACAAGTTCTGGGGATTAGCCTGTGTGCACCGAGTAGGGGTATCTGGGCAAAGCATCAACAGTGCCCACCACAGCAGTAGAAGAAAACTGTGGTTGCAGATCACAAGACTGGCCTCTGTTGGTTTCTTTCCATCCTGGCTCTGATGCCAATCATGTGACTGTCATACTCCAGCTGATGGCTTTGTCGTGTCACATGGTGAGAGGCATCTTCATTCAGAGTAGGCAAAGAGGCACCTCTCTGTTCAGTGCACAGAATGGGAAGAATGCTGAGCCATCATTTGCTCCTGGCTATTCCCAGGACATAATTAGCCTTTCCCTTCCCAAATAAAATGATGCAAAGGAGTGAGGATAGCAGAAAGACCATGTTCATGAAATCAGTCTCAATTTGAACCCCATGCAGCTGTGACCTAGTGCCAGTGACTCACCTTCTCTAAACCTGTGTCCTCATTTTATATGGATCTGAAAACCTCAGGGCTTTGAATGGATTAATGAACTAGCAAAGGGACCACTCTCAGTAAAGAGAGCCCATTAGAGTTGGTATTATCATCATTGGTATTAGAGGGGAAAGTAGTTATTACTCTCCTGAAGCAGAGAACTATATTCACAGGATAAACCCAATTACTGTTACCCAAAAAAAATTAGGCTTCATAGGCATAAATAATTGAAAAAATAACGTCCAGATAAGAAGAGGTCCCTCATCTACACGGCAATGTTTGAGGTTGATGTCAAGGATTGTCTCCGATTCTCATTTCATATTTTGTAAAGGATATGGACAAGCGAGGGGTGTCTAGAAAAGAGAGTGATCAGAATAATGAGTGGTGTTTCCAAATAAAGTCACGAGGAGCCTCTGTCTGGGAGTTTGGTGTGTAAAAGACTTGGAATGCACACCTGTGTTTCAAAGTACCATGTTAGGAGGGTCAAGAGACTCGTGCTACGTGGCTTTAGAGGGAAGGGCTGGGAACAAGGAGTGGTTAAAAGGCAAGTTTCAGTGAGAATATGACCACTTACCCCACGCACTTGACCTGTGAACTGAATGGCTTTTCTTGTGAGTACTGAGCAGTTTAACTTCTGTCAGGCAGTGGTCATCTGACAGTCTTCTCTTACTTAGTTAGCTATCTGATAGTCTCCACAATGAGATTTGAAATGTCTGAGCTTCCCAAAGAAGCCCACATCTGTCATCAATGAACTTGGACCTGTCTGTGCTTTCCAGCATGGCCAGAAAGTAGGATTCTACATTTCCCTTCACCCCTGGCTGAGACCCAGTTAAGGACTGGGATGTTCCAACCCTCAAGCCTCTCGTGCAAACATACACACAGGGCTGTCCTCATCTTCAGAAAACCATTATCCATTCACACTCCCGTTTTCCAGTCACCCCTATTCACGTTCTTCCTTCGAACAAGCCACGTTTCAGAGCAGTGGTTGTGTCACTCAGGGATTCCTCACTAACGCTGTGTAACAAGTAGTCTCAGACTCCAGCACTTAGAGTGGCTTTCTTTGACTCTTACTCAGGTAGCATCAGATCAGCTGGGCTTTGACTGCTGTTGGCATGTTCTTTTACTCTTCTCTTACCCTTTCCTTGGATAAGTGGGCTGGCCAGCTTGTGCTCTCCTCATGGCAAGGACAAATGGAAGCATACAAAGCTTCTCAAAGCCTTGGATTGGTGGCATTCCACTGGAGTGTGGACCCAGCCCACACCAAGGGATGGAGAAGTGCCCTCTAGTGGCAGGGACTGCAGAGTCACTTGGCCAAAGGCACAGGAACAGAGAGCAGTGAAGAATGGGGTCGATAATCCAATCTCCCTCCATGCTTCCTCAGGGTGGCCTCTTGATTCTTGAACCCTGTTTGTTTGGTAGATTGCACAAGTCTTAAGGGGCTGTACCACCCTTCCATTTCATCTCTCCATCTGGAAGTAATGACCATTTGGAAGTGACGATTTGCGTCTGACTGTGAGCATAGTGGGGAGAGGGTCTCATGTTCCATGCTCAGTATACAGAGGCAACTTGGCCTCCAACCTAGTCTTCGTGTCTGCCTAACATTCTTCCAAGTCCCATGCGTCACTTTCAATTCCACACGAATTTCCACCAGGCCTTTTCAAGGCAGTGCTATTCATAACCCTTAAACAGGTGATGATGTGTCTCTTTTAAATCTCACTGTGACGAGTGTGAAAAGACAAAGGAACATGTGTTTTGAAAATGAGTAACGGAAATGAGTTTGCCTCTAAGGAATGTCACAACCAATACCCTAAGGAGGTCACAAGTGCAGCAATGATTTTGAAGGGCTCCATTTTGAAAATAACAAAAAGATGTGCCCTGTGCTAAAGAGAATTTTTAACTATACTTTTCCTTTATTAGAATTAAATTTATATGGTAGCTGCCATTTTATCTTGAAAAAGACAGAGTGGCACCTGGGTGGCTCAGTCGGTTAAATGTCCTACTCGTGGTTTCGGCTCAGGTTATGATCTCATGGTTCATGAGTTTGAGCCCTGTGTTGGGCTCCATGCTGACAGCAGGGAGCCTGCTTAGGATTCTTTCTCTCTCCCTCTCTCTCTGCTCCTCCCTGATCTCCCCCTTTCTCTCCCTCTCAAAATAAATAAAAACTCTTTACAAAAATAAATATAAAAAGAACAAGGAACCTGGCATTCTTACTGTCTAGGATTTCTAATTCAGAATGGACACTCAGAGTTGGGTTGACAGGGCCTCACATTTGCTCCTTGCCTGACTGCCTGTGCCCTAAAGCCGGAAAGGCTACACATTTCCACCTACCAATGAAAGGAAACCAGGACCCCAGCCTCACTCCCACCTATATGTCGCTACATTCCTCAGCTCTTTCACTCTATAACTTGTTCACAATTGCC